TTTTTTACCTTAACTAGAGTCCCACAAATACCTTTTGGTGTCACGCTAAATTGGTCTCTTAAAAATGTATCGCTTATCCCTAGATCAGTGAATCTTACCAAATCGTCTTCAAATGACCAGAAGACTTTTTACATCGTGTCAAAATGTGGACCTGAACGGGTTGGAAGTGTCCCTCCTAAACAGTATATTTCGTGGTAAAATATCCTCTCGAGTGCTGTCCCAGGTCTTGTGTCTGTACGGGAGATACGCAGTGGTCTTGGTAACTGAAAGGAGATGCCTTGTGCATCTGTGGCTATTCCAAACAGATACATTGGAATTTTGCAATTCCAAAAGCATATCTTAATTGGGGATTTCCCATTGTTTCCGAAAGAAAAATTATCTACTTTGTCAGATTTCATAGCTTAAAAAAAAAAAAAAAAAGCAACTAGATGACAGGCTTCCATCCCTCTGTCCAAGTGCAGGCGAGCGGTCCAGACCTGTCCTCTCGTGCCACTACACAGCAGCCGTGCAAACGCGTGTCCCTTCACTGCCCAGTGCACGTCGCACTAGTGACTGACGATGAGGGAACCCCTAACTCCTGGCTTCCTAAACGATCCCCTAGACAATTGTCTGTTAAATACATATCGACGCCGTAATTTGAATTCCCTCAGTGACCGTGGTCCCGGTTGGTGAATCTTAAAAATGGCTTAATCAGACTAGGCTTGCTCAGATGTCAGTGCTACTTGAATTTGCTGTCAAACTTGCAGGTTCCTAGGTGATAAGGTGCAACCGTTTAGAATTATTAACGAAACTTCAGGACACCAGAATAAAACAGCCCAAGACTTTTCTTTTGATTTGAAACTCTTAGCCATAAAGCAGAGCGTATGGATGGCTCTTCTTGGCTTTTGATGGCAGTATGCAATTTGTATTGTATGTGTCTTTTAATATATATGTATATATATATGAACTCAGTCTGTCCAAAGTATATGTTATACTTGTTTTTAGATTATGGTGCAACTGACTATATTGATATATTATTTATTGAGTGCTGAATCACCATCTTATTGGTGAGAAATCTTGCATATTATACAGGAGTGCAATGTATATTCCTTTAGATTGCTGAGGCTTGATTGCTGTGATAACAAAGAAAAAAGCCCTGAAATGTATTTATGAATGGCCCCAACACACAGAGAGTCCATACTTTATGGGAATAATGATGTAGCGCTTGCCTGGGGCAAGTAAAATAAAGCCGTAGGCAGATAATGATGTAGCTTGCCAAAATGGCAAACTGCTGGGAAGAGAGACTACCTTTGCTGTATTTAATATTTCACGTACCTAAGGGATATTTGCCCTCACTTCAGTGTTTTTATATTAAGGCAGATGCAAAAGGGCCTGAGCAAGTCAAGTTTGAATTACCCATTGGGGAGGAAACAGCTCCCAAATTCGTAGATTTCTGACAAATACTTTGGTCGGGGTTTTAAATTACTCGGTCTCATGAATCAGTGTTATGGAAAACCCTGTGTTTTCAAGCAACAGAGTTCACGTTAGCCATCTTTAGGTATAAAGGGTAGCCAAAGCTTTTTGCTAGCCAACTCAGACAAATCCAGACCTATTCCAGGAGACAGATTTCCGAAGTAGGAGAGTTACGTAAACTCAAACAATCGGGGACTCATGATGTACGTCCAGCTCTGTGATTTTTCGAGGAATTGCCGGTTGAAAACAGCAGTGCTGGTGCAGGGCAGGCGGGGAGGGAAGGGGCAGGAAACCCTCCTCTCCCTTCAGACAGCCTGAGCTCCCCGCTCCCTGCCCGCGCTCGCTGAGTTTCGCTCAGATAGGCTCTGTGGAGCAGTTTGAAGCGCTGTGGTACAGCATCGAGTTTCTGTCTTTCTCCAAGTGCTTCACCCCTTTTAATTTCACCTGGAAACCCGGTTGGAAGTGGATCCATTCCCGGGGTCACTCTCCAGACGTGTGGAGGGAGCTGGTACAGGCAGGTGGGACTGCAGTGTTCCCTGGCTCCAGTTTTTATATGCAAGCCCCGTAGCTGAGGTAGCTGGGTGCGCAGTACTCCCGCAGCGCAGCGTTTGTTTTTTGGCTGCATTGGCATTATACAGCTGAAAACTCAACTCTAAGGACCAGGCATGACTTTTGCAAGCACAGTTCCTGACATTTGTATCTGGTCCCCCTTTTAAATTGTTTTAAGAAATTTTGTATATGGAGGATAAAGTGCTTATATATTTATTAAAAAAAAAAAAATCCTTTATCTTATTTGAAATTATTATTTGGTGAAGAAGGGTTTTTCTTTTTTTTGGGGGGGGGGGGCTCATGGGTGGGGGAAGGTAACTTTTAACTTGTCACTTATAAATGAAGCCCTTATTAATCATACAGAAAGGTACTGTTAGTAACTAATGGGATGTCTCTGTTTTACGCTTTGTACATGACAAGTCCATGTGTTACATTTTGTTTCTATCAAAATATGTAGGCATCTTGTCTTCAACCAAAACCTAAAAAAAAGAAAAAAACAAACTGTGATTTTTATTTGTTGCAATACATTTGAAATTTCAAAGGGTACTTTGGGGCTCAAAATTAGGATTTTTAAGTCAGTATGTGCATTTCACGTAATAAAGCTGTTAATGGTGAGCAAAGTATTATATACTAACTAGATTTTTTCCACATCTGTATAGTATATTCTATGTATTTTGTGGTATTGAGATTATAGAAAGTTTAGTGTCTGAAACATGCGTTTAATGTGTATTTTTAAACAAATTTATGGCAATTAAAATATTTGGAGAAAAGGGTATCACATTTCAATTTGTAAAGATCTTTTTAACTACTGTGTCATTAAAATGCTTTGTACAATGCAAAACTGTAACTGGAGAAACTAAGTTTAATAAATATCAAATAGATTTTCTGTATTAAACTTCAGAAAGGCTGTGCTTGTAGCTGTTGCGTGGGCTTTCTCCTCCCGGGTGTTGCATTTTTGAGCAGAGTTTTCTCTTTTGATCCTAGTGAATAACAAAGGCAAATGGCATTCAGTGTCTGTGTCCTGGGCTTGTTGAGATCTGTCTAATCAGAAGTGGGATGTGTTTCTCTCAGCCCTCCCCAGTTAATGTTGGATTTTGAACAAATTATTTTCAAACAGTAGGTACTTAAGTGGGAAAAGTCAGTCTAGGATATTTATTGAAGTAAATTTGATTAGAAGTAATTAAAAGTAAATACTTTTACTCCCAGTTATCGCTGGCTGTATTTAGGCTGTTGAAAATGCTATTATCAGTATTATCAGTTTGTTTGCTCCCTCTTTCTCACAGGCCTTTATCTGAGGTACTGATAAGAGTCCAGCTGTTGGGACTGAAGTGAGGTGGAAGCATCATCTACTTCATGCACTTGCCAGGCTGCAGGATAAATGTCTAAAGTCCAGTCTGCAATGAGCACTCCTCCTTGAAACACCCGAGGTGCACTCACCGTACGCTTTGCTCACAGGATACAAGGAAAACCAAGGTAGTTTGCTGAATATACATTTTTAATTCACACCTCAAAAAAAAAAAAAAAAACCATTACAAAAAAAAAAATGAACACAAGACAGAGTCCTTTTATTGAGCCTGGCCAGAGAGTCATCCTGAAGCGCGTGCTGCAGAGGTGCAGCCTGGGTTAGGAGACGCTCTCAAGCACTTCGAAGTCCTTTTATCAGTTCATACAGCAGAAATGTTCAATACAGTTATTGCTGGATTCCCTGTTCTGGCTTTGGAACGGTCAATAAATATTTCCCAAGTAGAATGGAGCATTGTTAGCAGTAACAGTGATGGGTGTTCTTCATCCTGACAGGTCACTCGGAAGCTGTTCTAAGGAAACAGCGGTTCTTCCTGGAAAAGAAAACACCATCAGGCGCTGCTGGCTGCGCGGGGCTCACACAGCCTCCGCCACATCCTCAGCAGTTCTCCTCTTACCACACCTGTGCTCGTGTAGCTGTGCACATTGTATTCACCTTTTTAACTCTATTCAGTTCGTCTTGATTCATTTTACGTTCTTTGCTTTGCATAAGAACTCAGAAGGGTGTTACCCAGGGCTACACCGTCGGGCTGCGGTGCGGAAATCACACGCGATAGAAATCCCCTTCTGTCTACATCTCCCCGTAGCTGCTGTTCCAGGTCACCCGTGTGAGCCAGGAGCACCAAATAATGCATTTCAAATCCCTGCAGAATAGCAGCCCCACAACCCTCTCCTGTTCTATTTACCTAGAGTAGAAATGGAAATATTCTACCCTATCTCTGTTTTCTGGTATATGTACAGTAGATGCCACACAAAATCACCTTCCAGTCACTAAGTAGTAATTTTAACTAATCAATTTAATTATATGTAGTTTGATCATTTGCTTGTGTCTAGTGTTCCTGAGAACTAAATGGCTTTTGATATTTTAGTTGTCTTTTAAACAGTGAGCTTAAGTAATCACCTTAAAGTGATTAATTTAGGGTAAAATACAGCTTTTCATTGATATATGCTTTAAAGTGAAGAGTATTGGCTTTAAGAAGGACTAATTTTAAAGTGTCTAAGGGGTTACCTAAAAGCTGTCTAAAATCCTGTGTTCTTTTTTGAAGACAGGTTATTTGGGGTTGCATTGAAACCAGGCTGGTAATCCAGGGCACCTGGACTCTGCTCTGTTTGCATTGCTTACAAAAGAGGTCTCAAGCTATTGCCTCATCCCCATTCCTGGTATCTTTTTTTATGCACAGAATTAACTCTGTGTCTCGTTTGGCTGAGAATAAGTGGGAACATGCTCTACATAATGTAATACCAAGTGCCACTGAGCCTGGAGGTTGATGAGGATTAGTTACCTGCACAGCATTGTAATGCATTCGCTGTTATCCCTGCACGAGGCTCCGATGGGTCTCAGGGAAACTCCTCTCCAGAAAGGTGTCATCCGCCTCTGTCTGGTGAGCTGGGGCTGTGGGTGGTGCAGGGAAGCACAGTGTGTCTGGAACAGAGTTGTAGCGTGACTGTCAGATCACCCAGCAGCTGCTCACAGCTGGGCATTCTGGTGCTGAGGTCAAGAGTCTTCAGCCAAGACCTTGAAATCTTTCTTGTTTTCAGATCCTAGCATGCTCTGTTAAAGTCTAATTGCTTGTATCCTGACCCCAAAGAAGTATAAAGATTCACTCTGGTTTTTAACCTTCTTGGGAGGGAAGGCAGAATTACTTACAGAATTACTTGCTAAGTTGTGTCTCAGAGTAACCCAGTAATCACTAGGCAATTACTTTTTAATGCTGTCGAATCCTCTAGAAGAGCTGTGCTGTCACCTCTAACTCCTGCCAGTTATTCATGCAAACCCTAACAGTTTTTATTAACTAACTATTGCAATTAACACTTCAATTAGCTATCTCGATTTACCTGACTGAGCAGCAGTGAGCAGAGCAGAAGGGCTGCCATGGCTTTCCAGCAGAGCATCTTCACGGTACGAGCTGTCACTTGGAGCTGTCACTTCGGTGGTAGGACCAGCCTTGGGCGGAGGAGGTAGGAAAAGCCCCAAATAGAACTTCCCAGGCTTCAGCTGGATTTTTATAGACTTCATTCTCTTATCATTGCATCAGCTGGCAGTCATTACAGGAACAAAGTTCATTTCGGAGCAAGAGGGAATTACTAAGTTAGCATCAGCTGAAGTGATCTGGTTCAAGGCCTGTCTGTCTAGCTAATGATTTACTCTCCTTCCACTTGTACTTTGTCTGTGCCAACTGTTCCTTTTTTTAAAACCTACCTAACATGTTACCAGAACTCCATGGTGTATCTGCAATCCAAAGGGTGGTTGCCCCAAAGTATTATGGTAAAGATCAAAAGCCATAACCTCATTTAACTTGGGTGGCGTTCGCAGTGTGTGCAGCTCAAGAGTTTGTTAGCTGGGGGTAAATATTGTCTTCTTGAGCTTATTTGGAGCAGAGAATCATGCTTTTGATTCTGCTCCTCATTCTTGGTACATGAAAGAATCGTGAGCAAGTTACTTAACCTTCCTTTCCATGCACATGGTACTTAAAAAGCAGATGTAATGCTTTTCAGAAGGGTTTTGGAATGTAAAAAAGTAGGTTATGTGTGATAAATAATAGCCTTTTTCTTCCAAGGATCCTAACGTGTCCTTAAAGATGATAATCTCTGGATAGCCAGTGCCAAAAGTAGAAGAGGCTGCTGCAAGGGTTTCCTGGAGCTGAGTTGCTCCATGTGGCAAGACTGTGCTTTCTGTAGATGAGCCGTTGCCATAGCTGCATCTGTACCTTACGGTGTAACTCACGTGTAGTCCTCTCAAAGTTGCCAACAAGTCCCATTGATGTGGATGGGCAGTTTGTAATTAAGAGGAATCTTAATTTTTTCCACTGTGAAATGAGATGGCAACAGCCTGGAGAACAGCATGTTGAAGAAGAGCTATCCATTACCTCTCACCTCTATAATCTTCTCAGCTCACAAACATTGGGACGAGTGGGAGAAGCGTATGGCTAAGATTACCAGTCTGTAAATGGACCTTGCTGGTACTCACTCCTCCTCCTTATCTGTGAGATCGCTGCACCATGACTGTCAGGTACAAGATGTTTGAGATTGCAGAGTAACGTAAAGAGACATAAAGAAAATACCAACTTATTCCTGTTGAGTATGTGTAGGTTTTGCAGCACGCTGTGCTTTAAATTGCTTCCAGTAGGAAGACACCGTATAAAGTAATTAAGGATGTTTTAGCTAAATTCTAAATGCAGATCTGGATGTAACAGGCTACCATTTTCTGTGATTTCTTAATATGGAAGCAGAAGTGCCAGCGTGGAAGGTGAGTTACTTAGATTAAGATAATGCCATGTCAGGTTCCTGTCTACAGATGATTACCCCATAGCCCAAACTTCACTGGAATTAAATAAAACCCCTTCCCAGCGTATTGCCTACAACCACTATTGGAAAATTCCTTCCTTTCCTAGGGTTCTTCTTTCACGCTTTCCCCCGCCCTGCTTGTCTTGCTTCCCTGGGAGAAGAAATCAAAACATTTCATTATTTCACCTGTCTGGGTCTTATGAAGGGAAGAAAATGGGACAGTAAATCATGGCACATAAAATAGCTGGGCTTAAATGTTTCTTTTACATTTGGCTGTGAGTTTATCAATTCTTTTTCCCCTGAAGTCCTTTCTTTACATGCAGCTGAGGTCTAATTTCTGCTGTTTCCACTAGGCACTAGTCTAGAACAGAGAAAGGAAAACAGGAGGCAGCAGCAATAGTCTTGACTTCATCTGTGGAGCAGAGGATTTTAAATGACAGCTCTTTCAACTCTGACAGCAGTGTCCTCTGTAAGTCATCATTTCTCAGCTTTTTTGGTTAGGAAAGACTAGTACTTTTTGATGATACATGAAAATTAGGTGTCCTTCTGGGTTATGTGTCAGCATATCCCTTTGAGGCAACCATCTGTTCATTCTGCACAAGAAACTGGAGAAAAAAAGAATAAAATTGTACCAATTGTTTCCACGTATACAAGTCCAGCACGCCAGTAAAATGCCACAGTAAAGGCACAGCTTTATAACATAATTAAAATAATAATAATAATAATAATAAAATGTTGCTCTGTTGCCCCTTCTAACATTTAGCAAAGGGAGAAAACAAAGGAATTAGATAACTTGAGAAATCTCCAAACACCTTGTTCAGAGTCTGGAATGCCACAGCTCCATCAGGAGCCATCCCCGCTGGTGGCAGGTCCCGAATTGGGCTCCCAGCCCGGTGGCCCCGGGGGCAGCAGAGGTGGAGGGCGGCTGGGCAGGGTTGCGACAGGCGGGTGGTGGAGCAAAGGCTGCGGAGGTCCAGGCTGCTGACACTGCAGCGGCGCTGAGCCGCTGCCAGAGCGTTCCCTGGGTGAGGTGGAGGTGCTGTGGCTGTTGACACGAGTCTGGCAGCTGGTTCCAGACACAGTTCAGCTGTCTGTGAACGGGGGCAGAGACCTCGCGAGAGGCCGAGGTGAGCTGCTCCCCTTCAGCAGAGCTGCTGAGACAAAATGCATTGAAAAACAAGAATTTACTGATGCTACCAATGTAAAAGCTCAGGTGGTATTGCTCGGCTGCTGTGGGTGCTCCTGGAGACTAAACCAGCAGGATGGAAGCACGAGGGTATTTTTTTAACACCTTTGCCAGCTCTCACATTGGAGTAGCCGGTTTATTGGTCCCCACTTGCTTCAGCTGTCTAGAAAATACCAATGAACTGAAAGGCAGAGTTAGATTTAAGCCCCAAATACTTTTGGCACAACTTGCAGCATGGGATGGCTACTGTTACTCCTGTTTATGCCAACCTCTGACTGTGCTTGGAGTAAACACAAAAGCAGCAGGAACAGCTCTAAGGTTTTAAAAAGTATCATGTACTTTTTAAACGTGATAAGAGCCCCAAAAGAAAAAAGCATCAGCTGTAAAAATTGCACAAACCCCAGCTTCCTGAAGTGAGAGACTGAGCATCTTTGTCTTCCAGACAGCCCAGCCCTGAGCACACTGAGACACTAACCCAGAGAAATGTCACTCCTGCCCCACAAAGATAAAAACTCTCAGTACCAGCTACAGGAATAGCAGGACAGGAGAGAACCGTGTTGCTTTGCACGTGGTGTGAGCTTGAGGCGGTCAGCTGAAGACTGGAAGGGGAAAAAAGGAAAAGGAACCAGGACTTTGAACAGCAAAGCTTGTTTATACACTCAGAGCCACAGGGTGAATTTCCTTGTCACATACATTTACTACTAGCATTTGGTTTTAAATCATCCTCAGGTATCAAACAGTCTTGTTTCTTCTGGTCGTTTCTAGAAAGAAACTTCTAATCCAGCCTATGAAGGTTAATTGGCTATCAGAAATTGCAGTTAAGCATCTGATTAACACTAATCAATATGATAACTAGGTAATTAGTAGCACAGAATCACAGAGCAGCCCTAGTCGGAAGGGACCTTGAAAGATTGCCTGGTCCAACTTTTCACGGGATGGGAGCCCAGATGAGATTATCCAGCACCCTGTTCAGCTGCATCTTGAAAACCCACAGCAATGGGTGTCCTCCACGTCCCTGGTGAGGCTGTTCCAGTGATTGATTGTTCTCACAGTAAAAAAAAAACTCCTTTCTTGCATCGAGATGAAACCTCTCCTGATGCAAACTTGATGATCTTAAAGGTCTTTTCCAATCTAGGCAATTCTGTGAAACTCTGTCTGTTGCCCCATGTCTTCTGCATGAAGAGCGAGCCTCCCTGCAGAGGTCAAGGTCCACGTTCACTCCTGAGCTACCAGCCAGCTCATGCAGTTTTGGTCAATACCAAATCAAGTGGCCTATTTGTTTTTCACAGATCTCAGGGACAGAGGAAGAAGAAGTAGCTGGTTATGGAAAGATAAAGGGAGCAATAAGCTTACCTCTGTTAGCTGTTATTTCAAATCATCTCTAGCTGAAGGCAGCCCTCACTACACTGGTTATACTGAGAGATGTTCCAAAGAAACAGGAGTCAAAAAAGGCTGGAAATGTTGTAACATAAAAATGCCTGAGGATACAGAACTTCAGCCTGATTATGAGCTGAAAATGAGGAAAAACTTATTTATTATGAGGGTCCCAGAAGGCTGCCCAGAGAGGGTGTGGAGTCTCCATCGCTGGAGATGTTCAAACCCACCTGGATGTGATCCTGTGTAACCTGCTTGAGATGAACCTGCTCTGGCAGGGGGGTTGGACTGGATGATCCCCAGAGATCCCTTCCAACCCCACCATTCTGTGATCTCCTTGTATAGAGAGAACCAGAGATTTGAAGCTACTCCCCTACAACATCTCAAAAGACACAGATTTCACACAAAATCACGGAGCAAAGTTAAGTTTATTAGACAAGACTCCTCTCCATCTTGATACCCGTGGTGTGAAGGAGCTTAGCAACACAAAGCTGATCATACAGTGAGGTGACAATCTCCTTATTAACTCCATTACTGGTCATTTTCATAGTCAGCGGGGTTCTTCCTCTTCAGTCTCTCAAACTCTTGTGTCCCCCAGGAATAAAGGAGATAGGCTCCCAGAAAGGCTGGAAAAAAGAAAGGGGACACTCCCAAGTGACAACATCATAGATGGATCGGCAATTAAAGTAGGAAAAGACCTTTAAAATCATCCCATCCAACCACAATATGCTCAAAAAAAAGTCCTGATGTGAAATCAAAGAGCTTTTGTGACAAGAAACAGCATTACACAAACCCACCCTCTTATCCCAACCTTCCCTCATCCCTAAAAACAACGATATTAAGGGAGGAAAAAAAAAATAAATTTAAAAGGGGATTTATTTATTTTATTCTATTTAATTTGATTTATTTTTTTTTTTTTACTTACGAGGCACCACCTTGAAGACTTGGGAGCTAAACCTCCTCCAGACATTGGGTATGCCGTGCGAGAAAACGTTAGGGAAAGCTCGTTGTTCGAAAGGTGAAAGGCTGTAAGTGATGATATGACGGACACGAGCCAGTTGACCGAAGTGACGACCCATGATGTCGCTCGGTCACCTTCTTCAACAGCGATGTTGCTGCT